TCCTATCACATTGCCCTCTTCATGCTGGGAACAGCTATACCTACTGAATCTAGCCAGTACAGATGGGAATTTTTTTTGTTTTATTTTGTTTTTGAAGAAATTATCAACCATTAACAAGTGTATTAACATTCAGTGCTGTGCTGTCTGGCAGTTTCCATGTAATTGGGATGAAAAGTCTATGGGTTTTTCTTTGAACTTTAAAGGAACTGTCCAGCATGTTGTCTTATGACCAAAACAGATTTGGAATATTCTGGATAGCTCCTTTAAAGTTCAGACTTAAACCTAGAGTACATTCATCAGCCACCACTGATTCTCTACTGGTTCAGCCCCAGAGGTTTAATAACATCAAATGTAGGAGAAAATGAAATGAAATGAATGGCAGATTTTCCCCTCCCTATCTCCCTATCTCTAGGTTGAGAGCCAGCATGGCAGACTGGTTGGAGGACTGGACTACAACTCTGTAGACCAGGGTTCAATTCTCACTCAGCCATGAAATCCACTGGGTGACCTTGGGAAGTCATAAGCTCTCAGCCTCAGGTAAGCAATGACAAACCTCCTCTGAATAAATCTTGCCAGGAATACCCCATGACAGGTTTGCCTTAGGGTTGCCCTAAGTCAGAAATGACTTGAAAGCTCACAACAACAACGAATCTCTAGGTCATTCTCAAGCTCACCTACATCAGAGTAGTAATATTAGCTCTAATAATAATAACTTTATTTTAAAAAAAAATTAAGCATGAAAAAAAGCAAAACTGGCTGACTATCATATCCTTACCTGTAGGACAAGTTCAAGTAAACCTACATTACAATGTTATACCATGTTGCTACCACAACATTGTTCCATCTTTTGGAATGCTGGGATTTGCAGTTTGTAGATGAAGCATTTAGAATTCTCCCTTAGAGAGCTCTAATGCAGTCATTCACTGGAGTCCACTAGAACCTTCTAGCAGAGGATAGGAAGTATCTCATCAAACATTCAAACCAGAATGGCAATGGATGGAGCCATGAGAGTTAAAGTGGTATCATATTGTGCAGTGTGGACATGAGAGTCTAAATAGTGTGAAAAATAAAAATGATATATTAAAATAGCTTTAAAACAAATAGCTATAAAATGTAATAATAGACTGGTTGGACTCCTGTTATCTAATAAGCTTGCCTTTGCTCCTAGGCATTTCTCCCCCCCACCACCACCATCCCTTCCATTCAACTGTTATCTGTGTCTGTCATTTAGATTTTCTGACCAAGGATTATCAGTCTTGGGGCTGTTCTTATCTGCCAATTTATATCCTCTAGTATGGATATCTGAGTATATATTGGATGGGTATTGTGGTCATTTCTGTCATATTTTGTGTTTCTTTTTTCTGCACAAGACATGGAAGTAGGACATGACCCCTTTCAATTCACTGTTTCCAAGAATTCACTGGGAAAACTAGTTATGCACTACCTGCAACCAGTGGCGGAATATATATTAAGAAATGATAAAGGGGAGGACCAATAAAAAATACGGCGAATTATAAACCATTTCAGCCTGTCCATAAAGATTGCACTCTGTGCACTTCACTACTTGCACCAATGTATTCCCCTGCCATGCAGATCAGAGACAGCGTACTTCTGAATACTACCTTCTAGGTTACGACAGTGGAAGAGACACAGTGGCCTAATAGCTTGCTGAAGATCTTCTCATAGGCATCTGGTCAGCCACTACCGTAGGTAAAATGCTGCATTACATATATTACATATATTATATACACCTTTGGACTGATTCCATTTGACTCTTGTACTTACATTCCTCTGTCTGAGTGAGCTGGCTGTCTACAGTGGGAAGTAGGATTCCAAACAAGGTAAAGCTAGACACTGGAAAAGTTATCTTTTTTTGTTCTGTAACTCTCTGAATTCTCCAGCCAATTGGGCAACTAGTCTGAGTCAATGGGTTCCTAAATCTCTCCCCTCTGCCCTTTTTATTTAGTTCGTACAAAGTTTCAAGCAATCACCTCTTACCTGAAGATTCCTTTCATTTTGCATCCAAGAACTTCCTTCATTTAATTTCCCATCATCTCCTCATATTACTCCTTTCGCTGTCTCTTAATCTCAACAGCGACCTCACATCCTACAAGTAAATGTCAAATCATAATAACTTTTCCACTTTGTGCCAGAAACGTGATCAGGCTCCTCTTTTTGGAAAAATCTCATTAGTGAGAGTACATCTCTTTTTAATTGCTCCACTGAACCCTTTGTGCCCTGTAGGGATATCTTCACACCCATTGCTTGCTGCATTGTCATGTTGCATACTTTTCTCACTCATCTAAACTCTGTGCTGTAAGCTTCTCTCACAGAAACAAGGATACTTTTTATTTTTTAAAGGAAAACCTATCTACAGTGAGTCAGCATGGTATAGTCATTTGCATGTTGGACTACAACTCTGGAGACCAGGGTTCGATTCCCAGTCTGGCCATGAAACCTCCTGGGTAACCTTGGGCAAGTCATATGCTCTCAGCCTGAGGGGAAGGCAATGGCAAAATCCCTCTCAACAAATTTTGTCAAGAAAACCCTGTGGCAGGTTCATCTTAGGGTTGCCATAAATTGGAAATAACTTGAAGGCATGCAACAACATCAACTATCTACAGTCTTCATAGTGTTACTGTGCTGCTGCAGAAAGCATCACAGCCTCTGTAGAAAAAAGTGCCTAGACCAGGATGGGTGCATTGTGGAAACTGGAGGGCCATAACTCTCAATCCCTGGTTTCTCCACAGCTCTGGAAGGCTGCAGAGTAGAGTGTCACAGTGGCCATCATCTGTGGTTACTGGAAGTGACAAAGTGTCATTTCTGATTGCATATTGGACTGTTTTTTGTTTGTTTGTTTTTTGGCAGAGGAAGAGGTAATTTCAGATTGGGTAACCTCTCAACAGTTTGTAATAGCCCTACAAAGAGTTTTTAAAACTCTTAAAAGGTTTTTGTTGGCACAAAAGTCACTCTCAGAAGAACTACAATTAACAAAGAATGACCTGAATAAACACTAAATTGAAATAAATGAGTCATATGTAAGAATATAAGCCTATTTATAAGTATGTAAGTACAATTCTGATGCACTGTTGTTTTGATATGGCCACATTTTGATGTTCTCTTTTTCTTTCTCTCTTTCTCTCCCCCGTTGATGAATCTATCACAGGTTTTGCTTAACAGAATTTGTTCAGAGTTGGTTTGCCTTTGCCTTCCTTTGAGGCTATGAGTGTATGACTTGCCCAAGGTTATCCAGTAGGTTTCCATGGCTGAGAGGGGATTTGAAACCTGGTCTCCCAGTGTCCTAGACCAACAGTCAAATCACCATACCCCCACCCCTCACACGCACACTTATATTCTTACATATGACTCATTTACAAAAGACTAATCAAAACAATGGTTTTGATGTTAAAAGTAGTCATTTAACAATTCTGAGAAGTGTTCAACCCAGATAAAAAGATTAACAGAAATACAGTGATGAAAACATCTCTGTCCAATCCAAATGTAAGAGTTTTATTTCCAGGCCTGAGTTGGGAACTGTATTGCCCTCCAGATGTTTTGTTCTGCAACTCTCAGCATTCCCTATTGTAGGGTGTGCTGGCTGGGGCAGCTGAGAGTGAGAGTCCAACAACATCTGCAGGACTGCATAGTTCCCACCCACATTCTAGATGAATTCCTGTGGATGGGAGATTGAAATTAGAAGAGCTGGGAGAACAGAAATGCAAAATTAACATGCAGAATTGTTTAAATAGTGCTTATAAAAGAAACAAAAATAGAGGCAAACCTACATAGATTAACTGCTTAGCATGGTAAGCCAAACAAACTTTCAAGCCTATTCAAAAAAACCTCCTTTGTCCCCATTCAAACCATACAAGATAGAGCTGAACCTCTTTATGAATTCTTGTTCATCTATTCATCCATTGTAATCTGTTTTTGGGATTCTTTTGTTTAATAATGGCCACCTTGAGGTCAGAGACAGAGTGGCCTGGGAGACTGAAGTGTTTCTCTACTGGTTTTTGCATATTGCCATTTCTGATGTCAGATTTGTGTACATTTTTTTGGTAGAGATTGGCTTGTTTGTCCTATTTAAAATTGAGTAGGGGGTTGGTAGCAGATAACAAAAATGCCAAAAACCTCAAAGATTTCTTCACTAGTACCACCCATCCACAGATTATTTTAAAAACCACTTTTTCTGAATTCTCCTTTGTCCTCTCGTTTCCAAATGCATTTGACATGATAGAAGGTTAATTCTAGTTCAGTGGACATTCATGATGGATGTCATCTTATATTCATAGGCTGAAGTGCATTCAAACTAAACTGTATAGATTAATTCAGATTCGCTTGGTTGTTATAGACAATGCTCTTCACAACTAAGCACATCTAATTTGGATAGTATGGTATAGTTCCATTACTAAACTATTCAGGCATAAAACAAAGCCGAGCCCAAATGTAATTGTTTTAGAAGCCCTTCAGCAAATGTAGATCCCAAAAAGGTCTAACATTGTCCACCCACATAGTAGAGTTCCTAAACAGAAGTAATGAGAGAGACCTTTAAAATAATCTTGCCTTTCTACCTTGTTCCACAGCTGCATAAAAAATGTAAAACCTTAGAGGATGAATTTAAAGAGCATATATCTTCTGAAGGGTACAGGACTAAAAGTGGAGGTCTTTATGGGTTAAGTTGGGCACATGCACAAAATAAGCATGGATACAAACAATAAAGAATTCAGTAAGATGACAGTCATCTCCATTTCAATCTGAGATGGGAATTGTGCAGCCCATGGGCCACATATGATAAGAGGAAGCCTTTGTGGACCTTCAGGGTTCCCAAGCGCACACTTCCCAAGCTCAAAAATTTGCAATACAAATTGGACAATCATGCCCTTGGGGGTGTTTGACTCTCATACCCACCAACTGTCCCAATTGTTAACATATGTAATTTTTCATAAAATTTTAGACATGTGGAGTTCCCTCTATGACTCCAGAGTGACCTCTGAGGGATGTCAGCCATAATCCCCTAGATGTTA